ACCCTTTTTTTCTTTCTAGAATGACTTCATATTGTAAAATGAAACTGCATTCATTTATCCTAAGTAGCTTTAAACTCATAACAGTATACAGCTATTTATATTTAAATTTTACTGTTTTATTGCCCTTTGAACCATGTCTAACTACTATTCACACTATTATAAGTTGAAAATCACCTGGGGAATGTGTAGCTCATGTTATGCTATCGAATTACATTAACCATGAGCTGATCGTGTGCATGCCTCATGAAACATTAGGAAATTATTATTATTTATTTTACCTAACCTACAGAGATCAACATTTAAAGATTTTTATTACTTTTATAATAATAAATAAAGAATAAACATGAAAAACAAGAAATAAAGTACTTTCTTGGGTCTTCTTTTTTTCTCTCAACTGTTAATGACACTTAACGTTACTTTTTTATACTAATGATAAGAATGCACTAAATAAGTTTTATTTAATTAAATAATACACTAAAGAACACAGAATAATAACCTGCAGAGAGCAGGTAATTTCCCCTAACTGCCAGAAAAATTCTGATTTTCTAACTATGTGACAAGAGCCATTAGAAATTCATCGAGGCTATTCATCTTTCCCATGGGAACCAGGCCTGTACGAACAGAGAAATTGACAATTCTCTGTTCAGAAAACAATGTAATATAATCCATTATTTGATAGGTGAAAACCTTGGCTTTCTATTGGTTATGCATAACATAAAATTAAAGGTAAAAGAGAACTATTAAGAAATCCTGAGAGAGAGAGAGAGAATGTGACAGATGGGTGAAGGGGATCTGATTTTTTATTTGATGGCTCTGTAACCAAACAAAACTGAAGGATATAAAAATTATGGTTTGTCTCAGCAATGATGATTTTATCATGAGTAATTTACAGTAAGTATCTTACTTATTGGAGGGGTGGTGAATAAAATAGAGAAGAGAGGATGCCTACAGGAAATATGTCATTTTTCACACCAAATATAACAAAAACAAAAAGACATTTAATACAATTTTGAATGTAAATCACTAAAATCTCGTAAGAGGATGCCCGTGCCGAAAGAGTTAACTGAATACAGACTGTTTAACCACAATATACCCTGTGTCCAGTCTTTTCCTTTTTTTTTTTTATTCAGTCGAGGTCAGAAAATTCAAATTTTGCTCCATATACATTTTCTTTGGAACCTACCTGATTATTTTAAGGTAAATTAGAGCACATGAGAATAACACATATGTATTATTATTAATATAGTAGTATTACACAAAACAATGGTTTCAAAAGACACCAACTATTAGCTTTCACTTTTATCAAAACCTTTCAAATAAATAACATAATTTACTTTAAATGACAACTTGCACCTGAATTTTTTTTAACTTTATTTCTTGTCATGTGTAATTAGAGTTTAAGAAATGGTGATATCTGTAAAATGAACATTTGACTTGTAATAATTTCTGTGAAAACAAAAATTATAAATCCATTTCTAAAACTGAGATTGAAATTTGAATATTCAAAACTTTTGTCTTACCTCCCTGGCTATGTTACTTGTCCGTACTTCTTGAATGACTGTTCCTACAATGATGTAATCCACTAATTCTGAATAAGAAATAATAATTATTCATATTTAAAAAATGCAGTTTTGTGTCTTAACTGTTTTAGATCACTACTGTGATCTTGTATTTTTATTTTCTCAACACTGTACATCATACATTTATTTGCAAATCTGATACAATATTCACACACACGTCACATTCGGCGAGATATGCCCCTTTCTAGAAATAAAACATCACATTTCCAATTTTAGTATAGCCATTTTACATACAATGAACACACTGAATCTCATACAAACACAACAAGAACAGCAGAAACTTTTATACCTGCTAATACCTAAGTTAGACATTTGAAAAAAAGTTGGTTATTAGGTTTATTTCTATGGGTCTAGTTGTGACTATTCAAACAGAAACTTACCTATATCTGACTTATTACTGTCTGACGATATATGTTGGAACATGCATTATGACACACACAGCTACTATACTTAAAAGTATAAGAGAAAAATATTATTGCTAAATAAAAAAGCTATGTAGGGCTGGCTACTGAACTTGAAAAAAAGGAACCAAACAAAACAGGAATAGAACTGGACATATCACATAGCAGATTAAGCTGTCTCGACTTTACATGGAAAATAAAATCCAACATTACAGATTTCTTTACTTTGTCCATCAAAAGCTTGATGTTTTAACAGAATCTCAGCTATGTAGGGCTGGCTACGGAACTTGAAAAAAAGAAAATAAACAAAACAGGAATAGAACTGGACATATCACATAGCAGATTAAGCTGTCTCGACTTTACATGGAAAATAAAATCCAACATTACAGATTTCTTTACTTTGTCCATCAAAAGCTCGATGTTTTAACAGAATCTCAGCTTTTGTCATCACACCTTTTCTTTAGTTAACTTTAGAATACTACTTTTATGATTAAAAATTCTAGTTCTATTTGTTTTGTCAGTGAGGAAGCCTGTAAGGTACGGATTTTATTTTCCATATAATGTCAAAACAACTTAGTTAGTTATGTGATCTTTAGCCGATCAAGTGATATGTCCACTTCCATTCCTATCATGATTGATTCCTTTTTTCAACTTTAATAGCCAGCCCTACATAGCTTTTTTTAGTTAGTAATAATTTTTTTTCCTTATACTTCTTTGTTTACTTTCTTATAAAATTGTGTATGTGGATTACTAGGTTATAGAGTATTCTAAAGCTTTATAAATTTTGCATAGAATAATAATAAAATAGGTAGTCAAAGACTGTGAAGACTGTTTTGCTCTATTATATGATGATAAAATTATAGTTACTGCTAGAACTAGGTAGGCACTAAATCTATTAAAGGATAAATGAAAATAAGAAATCTCGGTTTTGGCTATTTCCCAGTTTTAAAATTTGAAACACTCAGGATAGCTGAAAAGCAACATATACATCAAAAATATAGCGACTATGCTAGGTAGCTCTTCACATCCAGCTTCTGATAATATGTACGTGTATTGATTTTTTTTTTACTCCTTCACTTCATACATAATATAGGGGTTGGCTACCTAAAGACACTGACTGTACAGTATACAAAGCATTAAGTAATTTACATGTTACAGTCATCTAATGTTCATCTATTACTGGCTGGCAATTCCTGTTTCACCCTGTACTTAAGCTTTTTAACCCAATCACTACTGGCTACTAACACTCTGTGTAGCCAATGCAAATTGTGCTGTATTTTGTTCCCACAATAAAACTAGTGGATGAAATTGTTTGAAACTTCATAAGAACTTTCATAAATGCAAGTAGTTTAAGAAACATAAAACCTGTTACTTTTGATAATTTTAGTTTTTTTTTACATTATCATCTTTAATATCTTGAAAAATTACATTAGGAAATGGTATTTATAAGATATGATTATGATATTTATATGTGGTCCAGATTAGAACTTATTACTTTTTATGTTTTAGTACATTATTTTAAAATGTCTAAAAACTTCTTATCATCCATAAAATACAAATTTTGTTTATGTTTAAAATTTTAACAATCACATACTCTCCTTATGGTTTCAAGTAAGATAGAAGACTGAAAATAATATTTCTAAGTAAACCTAGACAATAAACAAGTATTTTTTTATTTTTAAATAGGATTTCACATTTATACATGTACATAAAAAACATTTTTATTTTGTTTCATAAATGTATTTTTATTTCAAGTTTATGTTTCATTGCAGTCATACTTTTGTTTATTGCACTGAAAAAACCATAAGATTAGCAGCAAAATTTGTATGTTTGCTGTAAACTCTCTCATCCCTGTTGGAGGTTACTCTCATTCAGCCCAGCTTGGGCATATCTGAACATCATTGTAGATATGATACTAATTAAAATTGCAAGTACAAACAGAGGGACTTCCAATTACAATTATTGGAAGCTCTCATGAAATCTATAATTGAAAATAGAGGAGGGCCTTCTTGTTTGACAAGTATCCATTCACCAGTTCTGGCAGATGCACAGGAATAGCTATTACCTAGGAAGCATTTTCCAGTATTTGCTGGAGACAAAAAAGGTGCAGATTGTGCCTCCACACAAGTTTAATTAAGTTGACTTGTAAGCAGTGCAAGGTTCATCTCTGTGTAAGGCATATTGAAGAGTACCATACTTTGAAGACTTTTCAAAGATGTTAACTTGTCTTTCTACCAAATCTAGTCAATATGTTATGATTAGAAAGAAAAAATAGAACTCATTCTGATTCCTTTTATTTCCTACTGCTTTCACTTTCTTCAAATCTAAAATTTCCTTAATAGAGGTTTGGTGTTTACAACACTCAGTTTTATTTTTTTTTGTTTTTTACACCATCACTCAGCATTTGTATTTAGGTATTTCCACTTGTTTTAAATGCAATTCTATTTGTTAGTTAGTGTTCTAAAACTCATTGCACTTATCAGTTATAAAAAAGTGAAAATATTTCAACAAAGCCTTTTGCAAGAGCACACAAATTAAATTCTTGTCTATATTGAATTGTATTACTGTGCTCAGTTACATTATTTTTATCATACTTTGTGTTTTAGTTTCTGCTCAAGAATTAGGTATAACATTTTCAATATTTCACTGAATAATGTACAACTTCAGATAATTATTTGGTAATAGTGTTTAGCTTATTTTTGCATTTGTATAAACATGTATAAAGTCTTCAGTGTACATATTCATGAGTAGTGAACAAATGTACAGTTTGTATGTTCTTGATATATAAACTGATGTGATTATAATATCTCAATGTAGCTTTTACTACGTATTTATCTTTAAATCTAAGCATGATTTGCATACAACTGTACATATACTTCTCAGTGCATAACTTAGAACAGTTTGATATTGTTTATCCATACATTGATGATCCTTTTGTATGTATGTTATCTTAATTTGTAACTTTATATTTTTTATGTAATTTAACTTTATTTTTTAAACTCTTTGCAAAATATCAAAATAAACTTTTTATATATCAGTTTGTCTGTTTTAATTATAAAACAACAACAACAACAGAAATGTGGGTCTTACTAGGTAATGATAGTAACATGGAAAAATATAAAATTCTTACGATAAGCCTAAAACTATGAAAATGGTATCAGTAGTACGTACAAATCACACAAGTATTCTAAATACTAAATCATATTTTTTATTATGAACTCAATATAAAATTATGCTAAATTATTGCACTTAAAATTGCTAATTTAAATGCAAAAGAATATAAAAATCACAAACTCCTTCAGTTCAAAGTGCTAAGCCTAATCCACGCAAAAAACATGCACTTGCCACTTGATAGATCTTAACCCTAACATTCATGGATCAACTTCTTTCCTAAAAATATATCTATTTTGAGTTAATTTTTCAGTATAATAACTAATATAAATAGATATACCATACTGCATGATTTAAGCTAATATTAAATAATAATAAAAGTCACATACATCCCATGCAATTTTTTCCAGAAGCAAATTTTCTAAGGCTTATAAAAAGATCTACTGACCACTACCAAGTACAACCTCTACATAAAATGGCAGTTACTATAATAAGCACCACAAATGTTCATTTTGTTACTTGTAATCCTAAAGCACTTTGTACAATAACAACAATTTAACACACTTGACTATATATATATGTGTGTGTGTGTATTTCTAACAAAATGGCATGTTACAGCATATAGCAAGTGATGAAACTTTCTTCACAAAAACCTGAGTCACAGTTTTTAATTCCTTTTGGATCTGCTGTGACTAAGTGAATTTAAAGTATTTAGCATCCTTTGACAAGTCTTTGCCATTTTTTGCAATGAGAACAATCATACTGTTTAATACATATGTTTATAATAAAAATGTAGTCATTATGAAACTGAATGATGGTCTGACAAAACACTTCATTCAAACAGTTTTTGTTTTACATTACACTACAAAAACACATCACTGCACACTTCTTGCAAGCTGATTCTAATAGCACGATCACTTTCACAGTCAAGGAACACAGGCAAAAAAAAAAACTTCATTTATTGTTACAATAGTCTAAAAATGTTTAAATAATGTATAAAACTTATAAGTTTTTATGTTTGTTAAAGTACTGTACAACTCTTGTAATGTACTTCTCTAAAGACTACTATATGTATTACATGTATGTGACTCTTTTCATAGTTTAAATGAGGTACTTCACCACAGTGTTGTATTTATGTTCTTACCTTTTTTTATCCCTGCTTTCCTAACCACCGACCTACATTAAAAAAATTAAAAACTTGATCAAAGTCCTTGAGACAATGAAGTATTAAAAATTGGAGTTGCATAAGAATAAAAAACTTTATTAGTGTTCCACAACGAATAAAAACATTACCTTTACAGCAGTAGCCTGTTTTTTTCTAAACAAATACACAATTTTCTTAAAGAACTTGATAAAAACTTTAAAAATATAAAACTGAATCAAATATATTTCTGCTGCTTAATTATAACATTAAATCTAAGGAATGTACTGGTATCTACCAGACAAAATATTCCTAGACAAGAAGTGGCTTTCTGTTGCAGAATTTGAAGAGGTGGTCAAGGTGATATGGTAATTGGAAACAATATTTTTGAGACCCAAGTAGAGCTTAGTTAGAAAGCCTGATACATTATGGAGAAATTTTGTGGTATGATATATTGATTTATAATTGTTTTAAACTTTAAAATGCATCAATAAATGTTTTTACATCCTTCGCATGGGAAATTCAATAAGGCTTAGCACTACGACATATGAATACAAAAGAACTTCGTAACATTGTAAACAATAGAAGTTTTGTTTTCTCTATATTTCTTTAATTACTCATAAATGTTTTAAGTAAAATAACTGAAACTTAAGAACTTATTTGTAAATAGTAATAATATATATACATATGTAAAGTATGGTAAAAGAAATGTGATTCTATTTTACAAAATACTGGTGCAATAGTGCTAAGAAAAACATTTGTACTTTGTAAAGGCCAGTTTTATGGTATTTGATACAGTAATGTGAGCTGCACATGTGCTGCATGATACACATGTGGCAGTATTTTTAGTCAAAGGCAGTTAAAAGGTCAATAAAACAAAAATTAATAAATATAATTAGGTGTATACTGTTACAAGATTTACACAACTTAGAATAAACATTTGAGGATTCCTCTTACAAGCTGTAGTCATTCTAGAACAAAAAAGGGTAATTTAGATCTTTTTTATGAGATCAGTCAAATTGACAAACCCCCATATAGAATTAAAAGTAGAGAAAAAACAGATAAAATATAAATTTGTTCTAAAAACAAACATTTGATAGTTATTTAGGTCGCAATAGAGATTACACAAATGAAATTTGACAATTTTCAGATGAAAAAAGTGTTTTTAATATTAAAATCAAAATTATTTTGCATGTTGGATAGTCAACACTCTAAAACAAAAAACTGATGAGCAAATCTTAAAGTACAAAATTTTAATAATTAACACGTTCACAACATTGTGCACCACCGGTGGTACATATGCATGTTTTCTGTTGGACGTCGTGTGCCACCCATGATACACAGCACCCATAGGATATAACTACCTCATCTCCAAAGTCCTATATGAAGCACTTATTGTATACGGACGGCTATATTAAATCCACGCCTTCCATCATGTACCACTGGTGGTGCACGAATGCCATGTTGAAAGGACAATTGAAATAAAACAAATTTACATGATTAAATCACTTTTTATTTTAAAATTACATCTAGAGAACAGCATTAAATTTTTTATTGTGAGTAAATGAAGCAAAAGAAAAAACTGAGACTTCTTTCATAAATAAAAAACTGTTGTGGAAACTGTAATATAATAAGCATGGAAATGAAATGGAAAGAAAATTTTCATAGTGACCAAGTGGAGCAAAAAACTAATTAGAAATTTTTTTTTTTTAATGTCTCTCATGAAAATTGGAAACAAAAAAAAGAAAAAAGATAGACAATGAATATTTTAATTCATTCTAATTTTCATTTATGTTTGTCATTGAAACACCCCAAGCACATTGTAGGCTTCCCATCACAATCCTTGAACTCTTATCATCCACAGTATGGATTATTTTATGTGATGTCTCTTTTTATGATCATAAAATTGTGAAATATTCATAATTCTTCTAAAAAATGGCAAAATTACTCTAAGAAAAATATATTACATATCCAATATAGAACTCCCCCCACCCATGCTAACATCAAAAATTTTTTAAACAATAAACCTTTAACCCTTTTCTATCTAATAGAATCATTTTGGCCATGTCGTTATGTACATTCTTAAAAATTAATGACTGAGAAATGAAAGTATACCTTTAAAACAACACAAAGTATGATAACAATTGAACATTTCCAAACCTCCATCACATTTTTTGGTAAATTTACCATTTATAATAAAATAAAAACCACTGCATAATATACTATACACTGTGCCATTGCTTTTAGAAATGATGCACAGTTGATTAACCCTACCGACACAGGGCACACATCAAAGGTCATGACGTCGAGCTTGTTGACTCGCATTCAAAATTTTATTGAATCACTATTTCATAAATTAATCTCAATAAGTTTAGTATCAAACTGTACATTATAATTCAAATTTTAATATTAAACATTAATTAACTTCTTAATTTAAAAGTAAATATATAAATATCAATTTTTATGTGTCACGTGGTATGTTGAATGCAGCATTGGTTCAAATTACATGTTTGTGATGTCCAAATACAAAGTCTACAGTTTCTTATGTATTAGTTACTCAAATTACTGATATTGACAAGCTAGAATATGAATTAAGATCATCCTATCTTTTCTAATTTCCGAGATATTAATATATTTATTAAATCAACCAAGGTGGCTCCGCCCACCTCTTCAGTTATTTGAAAATACTTGCTTACATACACCTACTTCACCCAACGATGTGTGTATAACCAGTCAAAAGCTCAGAATTGTCCCCCTACTGGGTTTCTCAGCCTCCGCAAAGTATTTTCATACCAAACTCTTTCTTTTCATGTTAAATTCCAAGCAGTAAGGTAAGATATTAGTGAGCTCAAAAGTTCATTTTTTTAGACTTATATACAGCTTAGTTACCAAGCTTGATAAATAGTGGAATTCTGTAGTATTACTATAATAATTTATGATTTTTGGTTATTTCAAAATGTTTTAATAAAACCTAAAAAAATTTAGTTAGTTTCACATTCTCAACGTGTGAAAGTTGATAAAGCTTGGCAAACTAAGGCAAGCAGCAAACGAGTATAAAGTTCATAACTAGAAGGGATAACTGTTTGCTGTACTTCTTTATTTACTGCTCTTTGTTTTAAGAAAAATAAGTTTAAGAACTTATTTGTAAGTAGTGATAATGTATTATAACAGAAATGTGACTGTATTTAAAAATTCTTAGTGTTAGCCAGGCACAGCTGAAAAGGTCAATATGATAAATATATATATATTTATATAATGTCATAAGATTTAAACTATTTAGACTAAACTTGTGTTTTCATGTTATAATCTGTAGTCATTCTAGAATAAAAAATGCATGATTTATATTTATTTCCTGATTTTTTTATGGTGGTTACGAGGTTGGTCAAATTGATCAAACCCATACAGAGATACAATAGTAAAAATAACAGATAAAATGCAAAATCTTTTCTAAAAAAAACATTTGAGAATTTTTTGCATGTAAAATCTGAAAATTTTGTGATGCATAAAAATTGTAATTTTCCCAAGTGAAAGATGTATTTCCAACAGGTATTTCCCTCTTCTCACAAGATTACAGGGTTCGTACACCTTAAGTGAGATGAAATTCCAGGACATA